AAATTGTTTTAACCTAATCTAACCCTAAACTAATATACAAAAATAAACAGCTGCGTAGGTCCGATATTGCAGTAGGTCGGAAAGTAAGTAGGTTGGAAGTTCAGTAGGGAGGATGTTGCGTATAGACGATGTAACATTACCTTGAATGTATGTTTTACCAGGGTTATCCACCAAACCATAGAACTATTTACAATAAGGGAAATCAAAATAAAGAATTTTTATCTCGGATAATTCCGAAAGCTTCTAGCAGTCTTACATTTAAGACTCTTATCGTCTAACATTTTCAAAATATATATAACAAAAACAAGTTCTATAATTAAATTTAATGTTTTGTTAAAAGTTGTGTCTTATATTTGTTTTTAATAAATATGTTCAAAATATTTTTCGTGATTTCAAAAACACATTTACAGCCAGTAGAAGTCACCGAAAAAAACTATGAATTGTGGATTTTTTAGTAAAATATTTATGACTGCGACTTTAAAAAAAACAATTAATTGTGGTCCGTCATATAAAACATTATATTGAGGACTGTCTTAAAAAAACTCTCCACTTTGAATTTGTCATTAGTAACAATCAATTTTGAAAAAAAAACATTTGAGCTGAAAACTTTGGAATTGTAGATATTTAGATCAATGCTTGATCTCCTCTTTTTGTTAATCTTAAGATTGTTTTAATCTTTAATTTGTATCCCGGAAAATTTCTGAAATTCAACCAATCAGAGTGGTGTAGTCAGAATTCCGAACAACCAATCAGGAGCCGCGAAATTTGAAATTTTGTGCGCTAAGCAGGAATCAAAAGTGTCCGCAGTGGATATTTATATCAAGCGATCCAATTCTAAAGTATTCAGTTCTGGTTGTAGATTTGGTTCCCATGATATTCCTAAGGTGAGTAGTTGACCCGAAATGAGGATGTGATTGATCCATTTCCTTCCAACAGGTGTAAAAACTAGATTAAAACTTTCAAATTCAAATTATTATTATTTTGACAGTGTTCCAAAAAAACAAAGGATAACGTTCCATTTCCAGAATTTCCTCCCCCCCCCAGATTTGTTTCTGTATCAGCTGGAATAAAATAAGTAATTTGTCTCTTTTTTGATGTAAAAATGTCAAAATTTAAAAATATTCCTGTTTTGAAGGGATTCGAACTGTGTGGATACTCCATGCTGTTGAGAGATTTCAACGTATTTAGCAACAGGAGGCTCACGAAACCTATACACAGTTCATCAATAATAAATCCGGGAATATCAAGATTCTGAAATGAAAAATTGCAAATGCAAATTGCAAATTGCAAATTGCAAATGAAAAATGCAAATTGGCGCTAATCTACAACTCCTATTTACCTTAATACTGTTCCAACAATATCAAAAGTCACTAGGCGCACATTTTTTAGCATTATTTTCTGTAACAAAATTAAAACATCTATAATATGTATTTTTACAATTCTATAACTTTTTTTATTGCAAATTTCTTCACTGTTTCCGTCAACCTATCTCTACCTCCAGTGAGTATTCCAGATCTAGATTACAATAAACCTTAGGTTTCTCTTCAGCAAGGTTTTCGACGCCAGTCACATAATTTTCTATCACAGCAGGAGCAGAGAAGTCCTTGTTTATGAATATATTTTCACTGGAGTCTTCATCTTTATCACTATAAGAATGTTCACGTGGGACTGGTTGGCAAAAAGCTTCATTTTGAAGTTTTGGAGCGCCGCCACTTTGAATTTCTGGACAACCGCCATTTCGTTCTTGCGGAGATTTACCATCTTGGAATGATTGGAACGTCTGCTTTGCACTGATTGTACTGTTAGGTTCAAGTTTACGCTTTGGCGGATTTTTGAGCAAAGATTGGCCAGGTTTTAACAAGGAATTTTTACTCTTTAACAACGATACATCGTTTGTGGGCTTTAACCGAACTTTCTTGATCAATGGACGCGTCGCTGGCACTTGATAAACTAAAAAAAAGTTCCTTACAATCAAAGTTTTTTATTTAAAAATTAATAAAATCTTACCGTATGCAACACTTTTTTTGTGATAAAGTTTAACTTGCTGTTCCCCTTGATTCCCGGATTCCAAAGGCAGCTTGAGCTCCAAAGATGATTCCAAGGGTAGATTAAGGTCAAAGGATAAAACGGAAGTTGCCCCGGCTGTCACTAAAACCAGTTCTCTCGCCTCATCAACAGTCAGCTTTACACCTCTACAAAATAAAAACTATAAATTATATCTAGTGTCTAGTATGCTTACAGTGGGACCCATAAAGTTCTGGAATAGGAAGAAGAAATGTTAGCCATCTTTTTATATAAAACAAATAGTTTTACCAGTACAGTGAAATTCAATGAAATAAGTCTAACTGTCTAGTATACAGGGTTACCCACAAAGGATGAGACTGTAAGGACGACCGAAAACTCTTGAAATGTGACGATCCCAAGGTTAAGGTCTTGCCTTAGATATTGTTATCTAATGGCCTATTTAATGATTTGGAATAGAAACTAACAAGTTTACAGTTGAAGGGAATCGTTAATATAAGCAAACAGACTGTACAAATTCCGTACAATCGTCTCTGAAGTCTCATCCTTTGTGGTTAGCCCTGTATCTATTATGTCTCCTGTCTAGTTTATCCTGACGAGAACTTTTATGAAAATTTGGAGGGGGGGAAGGTAATAAAAATAGGTCATAAAAAGCAAGTTTTTTTACCCTCTATGATATGTGTACGGTGTAGTCAACAATTAATTTATTTTTTTTCTATTTGAGCAAAAAATCCGAAAAACAAATATTTGGCCAAAAGATAAGACTTTTACAGGATATTATACACTGTGTCACAAAAAACATGGGAATTCAGTAACGAATTGAATATCGTCTTTGTTATGAATTAGCATTGTAATACTTAATTTCAAAAGCCATAATATTATTATGTCTGATAGAGTTTATTTTATGAAAAGGGTAAAAGATTGTAAAGATGTGTCTATAATGTCTCCGCAAGATGAACAGTGAAGACGGACAAGTTTATACTGTTTGTATACTGCAATTTTCTTGTTTTACGAAGTACAACCGTATGCAGTCAAAACATAAACAAATCAAAGAATTATTTGGAAAGACGATATCGAATTCGTCACTGAATGAATTCCAATGTTTATTGGGACACCCTGTATTTATATTATGTAATATATCCCAGTTCTTTATACTAACCCTGCAACCCAGGGTATATTATCTGTAAGCTCTCTAAGGGACTGTATACAGGGTTCTGATGGGAATAGTGTAATAAACTTCTTGGTGAGATCCTCGCTACAAACATCATACTCAGACAACCTATACATAAAAAAGAATTTATTTTTAAAAAAAAATTTTTTTTTTAATTAATAACTAGATTTAATAAAACAAAACAAAATTTTTTAGTTAAAATTAAATATTAATGACACGGAAACTGTAATTATTTATCAAAATTTACGATTTTTCATTGTCTTGAAAATTAAAATTTTTTATCTATTTCTTTTCCACAATAAAAGAACTGCTTTACGCAGATATTCTCAATATACCCGGCCCTGGCTGGAGTCTAGAAATTAATTTCCCTAATTTTGTTGATATATTTTGATAGTGAAATAAAGGGCCTGAGGCTGTCCCATAATTTTCGCCTTTTTAAGTTTCCAGATCCGGATCCAAGGAGTTAAAAAGTAGGAATTCAACTGACCTAGATCCAATTAGTCAAATTAAATCAAAATCGAGAATAAGGGGTCTTATCTATATAATAAAACAAGACATGCGTTGTATATATATATTGCGTAAAGCCGGCCAGACGGCTGGACTGATTGAACTTAATTTGTTGTGGACAATCATGGGTGTCATAGGCTAAAAAAATTCAAATTTTTTTATTAAAACTTTTTTTTTCATTTTTTTTTCACGGGCAACGCAGGGCCCTTCAGCTAGTATTATGTAAAGACCTTAAAGAGTTGTTTAATTAACAAATCAAATCATATCATATTGTACTGGGATTGTTTTGGGTTACAGTTTCAACTCCTTCCCAATCTCTGGATTTTTACAATCGTTAATTATGTAAAAATATATATAAAAAATAAAGAACGTTAACCCTTGAACTTAAACTTTTTAAAGAAATAAATATTTAAATTGGAAAGAATAAGTGGGTTGATTTTTTAAATTCCCCTTTTCTCGTCTAGAATAATTCTATGCTTGGATGCACACACAATAATAGAAAAGACAACAAATTAAAACCCCATGTACATGGTATCCGTCCGCTGGTCTGCTAGAAATCTCATGACTAGCAGATGTATAAAACACCTTGTACCTATCTGTCTGCTTATCTGCCAAAACTTGCATGTCTAGCAGATAAATTGAACCTCTTGTTCTTGTTTTCTGTCTGCTGGTCTACTAATCTGCTATGTCTAGCAGATAAATTGAAACCCTTGTTCTTCTTTTCTGTCTGCTGGTCAACTATGTCTAGCAGATAAATAAAAGCCTCCAGTACCTTCTATCTATCTGCTAATTTTCCAAACATCTCTTTTCTAGCAGATATGTAAAATAAAACCACATTCACCTGGTATCTGTCTGCTGGTCTGCTAGTCTGCTAGAAATTCTAAGGCAAGCAGATCTGCTAAGCAGAAGGCAGATGACTGCTCTAGGAATACCCCTCCCAACAAACCTCCAGACCTTCTAAAAAGCAAAACTCAAAAAATAAAAAAAGGAAAAAATTAATAACAAATAAACAATAAATATTTGATAATATTTGTTAAACAGAAATAATTTTCTTTACAGAAAAAAAATGAGATTTTGGTTCACTTGAACTAATTTTAATTTGTTTTGAATAAAACTAGAACTTTTATGTTTTCACAACTCTGAGCTAGATTTAATTCATGAACGGATAATTGTAAGGATTTTTTAAAGAGAGGTTTTTCGCCTTGATATATCTATTAAACTGTATTAAGCTTTTATTTAATATTTATCAAAAAGCATAATGAATTTTTTTAAATGATATCCTTCTTTGTGTTAACGAAATTTGCACATGGAAATATGCCACAACCAGATATGTACCCCCTCCCTTCCAGGCTAGGGGGGGGGGGCATTNCAAATTAACATTGGCAAATTAACATTGGCAAATTAACATTGGCAAATTAACATTGGCAAATTAACATTGGCAAATTAACATTGGCAAATTAACATTGGCAAATTAACATTGGCAAATTAACATTGGCAAATTAACATTGGCAAATTAACATTGACAAATTCACATTGGCAAATCAACATTGGCAAATCAACATTGGCAAATCAACATTGGCAAATTAAAATTGGCAAATTAACATTGGCAAATCAACATTGGCAAATTAAAATTGACAAATTAACATTGGCAAATCAACATTGGCAAATCAACATTGGCAAATAAACATTGGCAAATTAATATTGGCAAATTAACATTGGCAAATCAACATTGGCAAATCAACATTGGCAAATCAACATTGGCAAATTAACATTGGCAAAAAACACATTGGCAAATCAACATTGACAAATTAACATTGGCAAATCAACATTGGCAAATTAACATTGACAAATTAACATTGGCAAATTAACATTGGCAAATTAACATTGGCAAATTAACATATATTGGCAAATCAACATTGGCAAATCAACATTGGCAAATTAACATTGACAAATTAACATTGGAAAATTAACACTGCAAATTAACATTGGCAAATTAACATTGGCAAATTAACATTGACAAATTAACATTGGCAAATCAACATTGGAAAATCAACATTGGCAAATCAACATTGGCAAATTAAAATTGGCAAATTAACATTGGCAAATTAACATTGGCAAATCAACATTGGCAAATCAACATTGGCAAATTAACATTGGCAAATTAACATTGGCAAAAAACACATTGGCAAATCAACATTGGCAAATTAACATTGGCAAATCAACATTGGCAAATTAACATTGACAAATTAACATTGGCAAATTAACATTGGCAAATTAACATTGGCAAATTAACATTGGCATCATTGGCAAATCAACATTGGCAAATTAACATTGACAAATTAACATTGGCAAATTAACATTGGCAAATTAACATTGGCAAATCAACATAAAGTACATAAAGTGAATACCTGAATGTATTTTATTTTCCCAATCCTAACCAAATAACATTCCTGCCAAACCATTCTTAATCTGAAATATTTTAACAAAAATAGAAAAATAAAATCTTAGAAAATAAATTTAATTTTTTCTTGGTTTAAGGAGTCCAAGGTCTTCTGCATTTTTTCTTCCCTGAACACAAACAAGATGTAAACAAACAAGATGTAAACAAACAAGATGTAAACAAACAAGATGTAAACAAACAAGATGTAAACAAAAAAATGTAAACAAACAGTTTGTAAACAAACAAGATGTAAACAAACAAGATGTAAACAAACAAGATGTAAACAAACAAGACGTAAACAAACAAGATGTAAACAAACAAGATGTTAACAAACAAGATGTAGACAAACAAGATGTAAAGAAACAAGATGTAAACAAACAAGATGTAAACAAACAAGATGTAAACAAACAAGATGTTAACAAACAAGATGTAAACAAACAAGCTGTAAACAAACAAGATGTAAACAAGTTGTAAAGAGACAGTTTGTAATAAAAAAAGAGGTAATTAAAAAATAGCAAGGCAACAATATTATTAAATGGGATGATGCAAGTTTTCTTATGGTGGATGGGATGATTCAAGTTTTCTTATGGTGGATGGGATGATGCAAGTTATTGTATGGTGGATGGGATGATGCAAGTTTTCTTATGGTGGATGGAATGATGCAAGTTAATGTATGGTGGATGAGATGATGCAAGTTTTCTTATGGTGGATGGGATGATGCAAGTTATTGTATGGTGGATGGGATGATGCAAGCTTTCTTACGGTGGATGGGATGATGCAAGTTTTCATATGGGGGATGGGATGATGCAAGTTTTCTTATGGTGGATGGGATGATGCAAGCATAATTAAACACAGAATTGTTGATTATGCCAGTTTAATTAAACCCATCGATGGTGCAAATATGACTAAATAAATAAATGTTGCTAAGATGATAAACTGATATAATAATAAAAATTGTTAACATGGGATGATGCAAGTTAAAAGTTTGTTTCCATCATTTCCTGTGGATTATATGGCTTTCTTGGTTTAGGTTTCCTGGATTTCTTGACAGCAGCTGATAAAACCTCATCACTTTCACTTGTATCTAGCATTTAAAAAAAAAAATTCAAACTACAGGGTTGAATCTATATATATACTTTGTTTGTCTATTTGTTTGTTTGTTTTTAACCAATAAACGTCAAAACGGCTGAAACGATCGGGCCCAAATTTTCTGTGGGACCTCACATGATCCCAGAAGAAAAGGTTTATTGACGGAAAGAATCGAAAAAATTTGTCTTGCAAATTTTCGTTTTTTAAATCCACGAAAAAAAACGATAAAAAACCAACATTTAAAAGTTAAGCTCAATATAACAAGGGATGAGGAATTTATTACAAATGCAATGAAAAGTTTAATTTTGGTTCGAAGCTGTTCTATCCTAAATATGTTTTGTACCAAAAAGGACACATAATTCACTGCCATCCGACACTAATTCTCCGCTGATATATAAACTATTTCATGGGTTGGAGTTCAGTACTCAATTATGAACAATTTGATAAAAATTTGAATTAATATTTCAAAAACTTTTTTGTTTTCCATACACGGTTGCCCTGCACAAAGGATGAAACTTTCGAATCACAAATCTAAATTATTTTTGGTGTTTTGTCTTAAATAAAATCTATAAAATTACGAAGAGATAATGTAGTAAAGATATGAAGTTTTTATACAGCTACAGGGCAACAAAAAAGAGAAAAAGACTGAATAAAAAGTCCCTTCAAAAGTCTTATCCTTTGCGTGTCACCGCAGTTATGTCATAGTTTTGCTTAAACTAAAGGACTCCACCAGCAAAACTCTCTAATTCTTCTATTAATATATTTACCTATTTGATTAATGGAAAGGAGGATGTGAAGTGTTTTAATTCGTCTTGTCACCACCAGGGGGTCTAGTCCTTCTAAACAAAATACCTTTTTTGAAAGAAAAAAATCAACATTCTTGTTTTATTCGTTAAAAAAATTCTGTAGATTAAGGAAAAAGTATGTATATTTTTTTAGAATGATTTAGTATAATTTTTTAAATGATTTTTCGGGAAAATAGACACCCCTGAAGTATCAGAAAAAAAACCAAAGCCTGCGTCCCAATTTTCATCCATTTTATAAAGCTTCAATGGTAACTGAAATTTCATAAGTAATTCTACTAATACTTCTCACTTGCACCAAAACTTCGATTTTAAGTGATTAAAAGTTTAAAGCTTGGATGATTTATAAATCTTCGGATTAGGTAAGGATCATGTCTCTAAACACTTTAATAGGTATTTTGGTAAAAACAGGTGTATACAAAAAATAGCTTTTGACCTATTTTCGAAATAGATTTAATCTTCTTACCTATTAAAGGGTTCCAATAGTCATCTATTTTCCTAAATTAAAAAAAGAGTTAATGAATGAATTCAGGAATATGTTCATAAATGTATAAATGAATGATTAAATTCATTAATAAATGTATGAAAAAAAATCAACAATGAATAAAAGGCAGATAAATGAAAGATCATATGGTTAAAGTATGAATGTATGAAAAAATGAATACCATAAAAGAATAAACATAAGAAAGAGTGCATTAATGAACGAATGAATGAATGAATGACAAATGAATGGATAAAAGATTGAATAGGTGAATTAAAGGACAAAAGTATGAAAGGATGATAAATGAATGAATGAATGAATGAATGAATGAATGAATGAATGAATGAAAGGAAGGATGGATGGATAAATGAATGAATGAATGAATAAATCAATGAATGAATGAATGAATTTACCTTGTACCATGTTTAATAACTGAATAAACTGTTTTCTTTATTTCTTTCCGCAACAATTCAACTAACGAAATCACCTTGAAAATAAAAGCAACATTATTATTATCATTTCTCTTTACAGGAATTTTTTAATATTTTACTTATTTCTTTTAAAGGGACTGTAAGCGTAATTTCATTTGACCTTCCATGCAAAGATGGCAATTCCAGATTTACTATGGTTCCCTTAAACCCTTAATCTGATCAGACAAAGCTTTGTAAATCAGGCATTGTTTACAGTCCCTTTAAGTCTCCAATAGTTAGCTTCACAAAATATTTCATAATTTTCCTGTTAAAATGTTAATGTTACAAATACCTTGGGTGTGTTTGAACCTGAGCCAGCGATAACTGAAACATAAAAGAAAAGAGTCATTTTTTACTTTTAAACCTATTTTCATTAATTGATTCTTTTCGTAGTCATTCTTATCATCGGAAAAGAGTTATTTTTATATAACTTTATAACAATAATTAAATTTGTACATTTATTTTGAAGAGACAGCAGCAGCATATATTGCGGCTCGGTAACTAACCTATGGCCCCCTCTCCTAAAAGCAGATTAAGCGCTGGCTCCAACAGCTTGGTTATCTTTGAATGTCCACCAACCTAACACAAAGGTTATATTCTATAGCAACATGCCATTATATTAAATCATTTTAATTCTCCTTGTAATACTTTGATCAGATATATTTCGGACTTTTTTTCCTAACTCCTTAATTAAAAATATTTTAACTAGGCCGTCATCTTTATTTTAAATGACCCTACATTTTGAGAGGGTCATGCCCGATTTACTACGGTACTCTTGAAACTATCAATAATTTCACAACCTTTGCTAATGGTAATGGTAGATATGTAAAATGGGTTCACATCCTTTGCTAATGGTGGATGTAAAAGACTACTTGAGTCAACGAGTATGGGTTTAAACCCTTTGCTAATGGTAGATATCAAAGTCAACTACAGTCAACAAGAATGGGTTCACACACACCTTTGCTAATGGTGGATGTCAAAGTCTACTTCAGTCAACGAGTATGGGTTCAAACCTTTTGCTAATGGTAGATATCAAGTCTACTACAATCAACAAGAATGGGTTCACACCCTTTGCTAATAGTGGATGCCAAAGTCTACTATAGTCAAAGAGAATATATTGTACTTTTTCTGAATCAATGGAATTTATAAGTTTAATGAATGCATTCCTGCAAATGTTTTGATTATTTAAGTGCTGACTAAGTATCTACTTGTAAATGTACAATGAATGTTTGTTCGGTTGAGATTTCAATATAAATAGTTTGTTTCAACAAATACAAATCAGAACAAAATTATTAAACATTGTATTTTCGTATTTCTGACTCTATAAAGATTAATTTCTGTGAGTTTCTCCATTGCTTCTTATAAACAAGAAAGAAAAGTCACAAATGAAAATAAACAGTTTGTAACAAAAACATTGATATCTGATTCATCCTTGATCAGACACAGCTTTCCAGGGTACCGTTGTGAATAAGGCATTAACAAGTCCCTTTAATAAAGTGTTTACCAGTAACCAGCCATGTTCTGCAGGAAGAGATAGGATTGGTATATTTCCTGTATTTAAATTCTCCTCCTCAGTCCGAACCTAACAATAAAGTACATGTATTTTCAACAATAGGGTTCTAAGCGTGGCTAAACTAGTTCATTGGCTCAGTTGTCCTAAAAGATAAACATTTATTTAGTACTGTACAATATTAACATCCATGGGTATCTTTTTATGGAACGCAATTTTTTTACAGGTTGCATCATTTAGCCAAGCAAGGATGAGTTAAGGAGAAAGTTGCACCAAAACGGTTTTTATTAAGGAATTTTTGGTCAATACCTTACATTTTTGCCTCTAAACTTGCCAATAAAACATTTTTAGGCCATTTCTAAATTGTCTAATGCTAGAGAAGGCGAATGAAAAAAATCAAATAGTTTTTTCCCCTCTGGAGTACATAAATGTAAAATGTTTTATCACGAAATTTTTGAAGGAAAACGATCTAGAGAAAATGAAGTATTAAGAGGAGAAATGCTTGAATTAACATATCTAAGATTCAGATATAATTTTGGAAAATGTAATGATTATAAAAGGTTTGCTAAAAGTATTGATTTGGGTTTACATCATGTGCCCTCAACTTAATTATCTTTCCAGAAACTTCAATGTGAAATAATCTGCATTCTGCAACGCTTGATCTCATTATCAACTGTGGCAATTTTAAAATTCAAGATTTAAGTTTTTGATTCCTTAATGTTAGTAATCCCTAGGTTCCCTCCAGGGAAAGATAAAGAAATTAATCACTTCGGGCAACAAGAGAAACGGAAAAATGCTTTGTTCCTGGATTCAAGAACTTTATTTATATAGTGTCTTTATAATCCTAAGTAAGAAGCTAAAGAGAAGACTTATTATTCACCCATAGTCAATAGTTTCAATTTAACAGTTTCTTTTCCACCGAATGTATGAACAATGTCCGTTCTAATGACATACTTTGGAGAACGATAGTCTAATATGATAGACTAGATGAAATTTCCGGCGTTGCCCGTGGGGGAAAAAAATTGAATTTTCCCTCAAAAAATATACGCCCATTCGGTCCAGCCGTTTGACCAGCTATAGCTAACATATAAACTAACAAATATATTTACATGATAGAAGAGAATTATTGTATAGATAGATAATTCGGATATACACAACCGGAGACGTCATCTGGTCGACTATTGTAGCGGTGATAGGGAATAGGCTCAGGACAATTTTCTTTTTATAAATATG